TTTTTTTTTAAAGTGTTGTTTTTTCTTGTTTTTGGGGAAAATGGTAAAATTTTTTTTTTTTTTTTTTTTTTTTTTTTGCTAAGGTGAAGGACAAGTGCAATGTGCGCTAGACTTGTTTACTGGATTTGCCTCACGCGTGCGTAAGGAAGGTATATGCTGTGCTGGAGCGCAGGGTTTTTTCCAAGAGGACGCAGCTCAATGTGAATAAAAAAAGAAGACTGCTAAGCCCGAGAGTTTCAAGCAAGTACAAGCAGCGCGTCTGGCCGAGCTGCTCTGACTACACCGTTTCCCCCCCTGAGGGGATGGTCGTGGATCCTCTGGAGCCAGGAGCGACTCAGGGGCTCCTACGCGGCAGCACATTTTTCGTGTTTGAGGGAGACTTTACAGTAAAAGGAGATGAGAGCCACAATTTGCTGCTTCCTGCTGTGGACGACGTACCTGCTGGCCACTGCTGAGGTAAAGTGACCAAATTCAACCAGTTTTTTATTTTTATTTTTTATTCCAATTAGAGTGCAAAGGTCATCTCCTCAAGGGCCACACAAACATACACATAACACTGAAACGCGGTGTTTAATTTAAACTCCATACGAATGAGGTTTGAATTAAAGCCTATGCAAAGAAAATCAAAACAATAAAACCACCGCTAAGATGATTTGAGGCAGCTTCTCTCACAAGTGCGCGTCTCAGAGTAAACACCGCTGCATGCGCAACGCACAACGCAGTTATTTTTGGTCTTTTTTTTTTTTTTTTTTTTGGTGCCAAATCTGTTTGTAGCTTGAGGGCAACTGGGCAAACGTTTTGGTTGGACCAAGCGCGTCCATGGGAACCGCTCTGGCTGATAAAAATAGTTGGTGTTCCTGTAAGGGCTGCGCACGTCTTACTCAACCCGAGGTGCCTGGATGAGGCGCGACAAGTGCAAAGGGTGCGAGGTTGCCGCTCCCGCAGTCTTACAGCTTTCGGTCTGAGTTTCGAGTTCCAGCTTAGCGGAAGAAAGCGATGTGTTTTTCAGAGGTCTAATGTTGCTGATTATTCACTAAATTCGCAACGGATCTTTCTCTCTCTCTGTGGCACCTTGTTGCAGAGTTGGCTTCTCAAAAGGTTTCCTCAGTTGAGTCTTTATTTATACAGCCAAACAAATGCCCCATGTGCTTCCCAATCACTCGACACATCTCTAACCTTATTTTCTTGTTTGATTTCTTTGCCCCCCAACCGCCCCGCTCCCGGCCACAGAAGGAAGTGGAGTTTCCCCAGGAGCTGATCGATCGACTCTCCAACAGTGAAATCCACAGCATCAGCGACCTCCAGCGGTTACTGGAGATTGACTCCGTAGGTAAATTCTGCCTCTTGATACTATCTATTTATTTATTTATTTATTTATTTATTTATTTACTTTTGTTGCGCGTCATGTGTCTGTAGGTCGGACACCCCGGCTTTTGGATATTAATCTGATTAAACCCAACATAAAAAGTCAAGGCTCTTATGTTGCGGCTTTATGATTAACCTAAACAATAGGTTGCGCATTTGAAAAACGCATGATCCGAGACAAGTGCATTTACTGCACACATGTGATGAAGGGTGAGTTCAGTGAACTTGCTTTGTTGCCTCCAGACTGCCACATGTTTTTGTGCCATAAATCCGGTGAAAAGTTGTAGCAGGTTGCAGGTCAAGCCGGGCTTCTTCTCCCTCTGTGTCCCAGACTGTCTTGCTGATTAAATTACATCTGTGTGCTGGAAGAACTTGTTTGCCTTCACATGAGCCTCTATTTACACAGGCTGCTGTCATATATCAAGTTCAGGGCTCCTTCTGTGCAGATTTGCCAACAGAAAGGGGTAATTACCTCTCCTGCTTTACAACTCTCTACATTTCACATTCAGCAAACAAGGGCAGAGACTGGAATTTGAGTTGTTATTGGTCGTAATAGCCACGTTTTATGTTTTCTTGAGCTTCCTCCACACATTTCAATGTATTTTATAGTGCAGAATTTTACAACAGAAGAAAATTGACGTGTGATTATGCTGAGATTTTTTTCTATTCAGCGCCTCTTAATTCAAATCTCTGTAGGCTTTTGGATGCATGTTTTCTTCTAAATATTGAAATTTGTGTATTCCGTTTTGGAAAATAGTTTGAGCTCAGTCAGGTTGGATGGAGAGCATCTACTGACCCAAAGTGAATGTCTAGACTTTGACTAGGCTTTTCCCACACATACTAAATGAATCTCTTGTTGATCTGACAAGCTTGCCGTCCGACTAGAAGGAGAACCTCTGGCCTGGTCCAGAAACTTTTAACTCAACTTTAGGATTATCCCCGTGTTTCCTTCTGTCTTCTCAACAACTGTGACCACCATCCCACATCATGATGCTATCACCACCATGATTCACTGTTGGGATGGTTGGACCAGTTGCAGTTGTGCCAAATCCTTTTTATTCTGTGATGATGAACTCTATCCATAACTTCACCTTGATCTAAATTTTTTTCCATCTCTTGGTGATTTCTTTCTCATCAAGCTTATTCCTCACCAACATTCTCAAACAAACTTCTGAGGCCTTCAAATTACAGCTGCCTCAGTCGCTTGGGGTTAAATTGCACATGGTTGGGATTAGGTGATCTCTGAGGATAATTGCACAGAACATTTTATTCTATCCAGTAAAGGGCCTGGATAGAAATATGCTTTTCAGAAGACCGCATTGTCATTTCTTTCCACTTTAAAATTTAACTCAATTATGTGCTGACCTATCCCATAAAATCCCAATAAAATACGATAATATAAAATGTTTGTGGCTGGAACCTTAACAAAATGTGGGGAAAGTTTTTGCAAAGTTTTATAGGATTTAATTAATAGAACAACTTCGGTGATGGATTTAATTAACATCAAAATGGGCAGTTTTCCACAGCAGGCATCATTTCACTTTACTCTGAGCCCAGAATAAACCGCTTTGGTGCCTCATGGATGAGAAAAGGTGCTTGTAATTGAATTAACGTGTCTTTCTTCAAACAGATTAATGTATTGCAGAGTAACAGCAGTAGGCTAATTATTGTTATACGAGGACATAAATCTGTCTTGAGGGTCAGCTTGGTCAGCCCTGGCCAGCCCATTAAAAGACCCCCAGACGCCAGCCGGAGGGGTATTTTCGGAGCTTTTGTTGCGGATTGTTTGAACTAGGGAAGTTATCAGTGTTAAGGCAAAATACTACGTAGCGTGACATCATCCAGGAGGGGAGATTTTAAAACAGAGGTGAACTTTTCAGAATTAGCTTTTAATTGTTCTGTGATTTCTGTCCCAGGAGGGGGTGAAGTTTGGAAGTGGCAGGATAAACAGGGCGCCCAGGGGTGGCTTGCACTACTCCTGTGCTCAGTGCAGGCTTGCATTTGTTTTTGCAAAGTCCCTGTCCTCAGCTCTGACTGTCAGATGAGATGACCCTGCTGAAGTCTGCAGATGGCTGTCTGGCCCCTGAGGTGCTGCTCTCCTCGTTATACTCCTCCTCCTCTCTGTCCCTGTCTCCCTTCTGAGGTGGCCCCTCGCCTGCCTGCTCTTATCTCTCTCAGTGAAGAACTTTGACAGAAAAGGGAACCTGACTCTTGGTAAGGGGCAGAGGTGGAGGAGGGAGTCGGAGACATCTTGAGACGGCGCTCCGGCTTCAATCGGAGAAGCCGCAGGTTGTTGTGCAATCTACTTTGTCTTCTGTCTCCCGCACAGTTAACAGATAACTCTGACACTAAGAGAGGGGAGTTGCTTGCCACCTGTTATTACCCACAACCGCAGAAGTACCCTGCTGCCTATTAGACTTAAGCCTACATTTTGTCAACTCAGCCACATAGCTGTTAAAAAGAAAGAAGACAAATGAGAAAGAATGACAGACGGAGGGAGTCCCTTACACTGAAAGTCAACAACATGCTGGCTGTTTGTTCAAGGAGAGGGAGAATGAAAGAGAGTGGAGGAGAAGAAGCAAAAGGAGGGAGTTAAGGCCCTTAGCTAATGGAGGGAGTAATTTACCAGTCTTGAAAGCCTGATTCATGGTAAGAGACTGTCTCCTGTCCTCTTGTCTCTTGTCTAGAGACTCTGGGCGTGTGCATACATATTAGTCACCTGGAACCAGGAAAGGATCAAGCCCCCTCTCTCCACCGCTGTAGTCTTTCCACCTCGTTTTCTTTCCTGTTTCTTATGCGGCCTCTCTGTCAAATCCAATATAACTTTCCCTTACATCAAACTTTCCATATTTGCCGTATTCTTCTCCTACCTTTTGTGTATTTCTGACAGTAAGAGATGAAAAGATTTATAGATTGGGGTGTTATGTACAGTAAGAGTGTGTGTGTGAGTGCAATGGTCTGAAAGAATGATCGCTCAGCCCTTTGTTTGACTCCCAGCTTCAGCTGCAGGCAACACTTCCCTTCAGTGAACCTTTAGTTCTGGGTCGCCAACTGGTTGACTGACTCCCTGACAAGCTGGAAGGAAATTCCCCGAACTGTCTCTGACGGACAGACCTGAAAAAAAGAAATGATCAAAAAGCAAATAAACAACTGAACCCAGGGGTGGACGATGTATAGTTTGAGGAAATCCCTTCGAATTACTTTGGTCGAATGCACAAAAAAGCTGAAAGAGTGTTTGCCCACAGTTGAACTCTGTTCAGATATATGTACTTAAGGCTTTTCTACATTATGTAGGATAATGAGAAGAGTTTCTCAGATTGTTGTACAGTGTCTTTTTGCTCAGTGTACATGTGTAGAATAATCCTACACAAGCATGATATACCATAAGAAAGGCAGACCCACCCAGTTTGCAAACATAGTCAGACGCTCTTGGAATCCTGCAGACAAGCTTTATATTTTTATTGCTGTTCTTGCACTTTTTCTTAATCCACCTTAAAAGTCTGGGTGGAGACCAAAACAAGCACATCTTATCAGATGACCGTGAACATGAAAAAAAAAAAACTGAGCTGGCTATGTTAGCAAAAACATGTACTTTCCCCAAAAAACCACAAAGTGATTGAAAAGCAAACATTTGCAGGAAATGAGGGACACAGAACCACTAATTAGGCCTAAAATAAAGGTGACCGGGCCCTACCTGTCAAATGACCACTTTAAGCCTCTGTGTCTGTAAAAGCTGGTTGTTTTTTTCAAGTCAGTGCTGACTCACCTTCGTCTTGCTACAGCTAAAAAAAAGTTTAGCCTAGTCACTGAGGGAGGCTGACATATAATGCCAGCGATTACCCAGTGCACAACTGAACCTCCTACCTGCAGCCAGTGTACTAGAAGTTACCACGCTTGCATGTTTAAGAGAACTGTAAAAACCCTCTGGGAACATAAAATATACTTTATTTCATTATGGCTATGTGGCCAACCAATACTTGGTTGTTAGAAATGCAGTTGAAGATTCTTACTTAATCCTGAAAATGCTTTCATAACAGTGTATTACTCACCATTAAGGGGAAAACAAGAGTTTCTTTTTCTACTGTAGTCGCCAGACTAGCAAAGAGTCACATCTCTGTTTAGTTGTGATTTCCTTTATCTCTGCTGTGATGACTTCATGGCATTCTTGTCTCTATCAGAAATACAATTTATAGCGACTTCCCAGTACGGTAGCCAGACTAACAATGTGTCATATGTTTGAGTCATAACTTTGTTGAGAGGCATGTCCATTTAACTTTGAGCTGTGGTGATGTCACAGGAGTCTCTAGAAATAACATTGTTTCTTTGAGAAATGTAATTCTTAGTATTCATTCCAATGTGGGAACCAGTGTATCACCAGTTCATAGCTTCCAGTCATAGAAATGTTGTGTTCCTTTGTGCCTTATAGAAACCTTTACGGTCTAATCAGAAATAAAATTAACTCTATCCTTCCAAATATCATAATGAGATCGTGACTGAGAGAGGCAGAGTTTGATCTTAATGTGACGAAAATGTAGAACTTGATTTGTATTTAAATCGTTTTTAACGTGTTGAGGTTCATCTAAAACTTTCAGTTTGCACTTTAGGCCTCTTCGAAATTGTTTAGGGAGATTTTTTTTTTTCTTTTCATTCCCACCCTTATTTTTTGTGTGATAAACTTATGCTTAGGATTCATATAGTATCAAAGGCTTACATGAATGCTTTAACTTAACTCTTGCATAAGAAATCTCTGCCTTTTTCCTACTTCCACTTCTTATCTAAAATTCTTGAATAAACAGTTGCAAATCAATCTTATAAACATTTACTCATCTGTTTAGGAGCTTCTTGATTGCACTGTGTTATAACTGGGATTGAATTGCACTGTGTAATTGAATCTCAATGTGACTATGTAACTAGTCTGAACTGGAATGAACTGGGTTTAGGCAAAAGTGTTTCTCCTGTGAACATGACACGTAAAAGTTGAACTTGTTTATTGAATACCCTGTTTGTGACATCATTAACATGGCGTCCTTCTGTTCTGACGAGGTACGGGAAACGATGTTGTTGAGGAGCACAAGCACCACAAGCACCACAACCACCATAAGAACTCGTCCCATCATCACGGTTACTACAATGACCTGAAAAGCTCCCAGCTGCACAGCCGACGCAAGAGGAGCATTGGTAAGACCAGTCGGAGCTCAGAAGTTGCATCATTACATGCGTGACAACTTGGCACACACGGCGTCAACATGCCCTGAAAATAATCCGAAATCTCACTTCTAAAACAGAAGTTCCCAGGACATGAAACAGATCACTTTACACTAATTTCCAACAAAGCTAACAGTTAGTGGTTTTTATACTGCTTTTTAAGGGGGATAAAAGGCACCCTAATGAAGACATCTACCCAGTATTTATTTGCAATCAAGGAATCATGAGAAAGGGAGGCTAGCGCGCGGGGTTGACGGGGACGTCTGACACCAAGCCTTTTAATTGGCCCGAGGCTTGCAGATCTAAAGACACACGCGTCAGGGGAGAAATATATCCTCGAGCGTGGAAATTCCAGACATTCAGGGTTCAAGTTGCAGCTCGCTTCTTCCCTCAGTCAGATTTCTTCCTAAAATGCCACGCGGTACGATATCTGATCGAGGCGTGGAGCCTGCAGAGTGCATGCTCTCCATGATCCTCCCAGCAGTGGAGATGCTGGATGTGGACGAAGCTGCTGGTCGTGTTTCATTTATTTATCCGGCACCATAGGATTATGAGATAGTGTGGCATTTTGGCTGCTCTCCACAGAAGCTCTTGCATTCAATGCATGACAATATCATGCATTATTGACAATATTCAATGCATTCATCTTTACAGGATAATTATTATAATGCAAACAGTTTTACACATCTCAAACCATTGGACATAGATAAAACAAACTATAAAACAAAATTAGTGTAACATTTGCGAACATCTTATTTAAGCATATTTTGATCAGTATTTCTAAAAAGAAATTAGGTAACTTTAAGAAACTAAAAAGGTGTGTTTTAAACTAAGAAAATCTTAAATAAATTGGTTTTGTTTTTTTCTTTTACATTTAACTCCTTAAGTTTACAATTTTATATTCCCAAGTTTAAAAGAAACACAAAATAAGAATTAGGCTATGTTTGACAGACAAATAGGCAACCTCCCAGGGCGGCATCTTTGGCATGAGATTACCCTACCCACTCTCTGTCCAAACCTCCCCCTGTTCCTCTGATCCTCTTACCCCCCCTGTCTGGGTTGCGGATGCCATGGCAACGCCTAATGCATCCACCACCAACACCCCTCCAACCCTTGTTGCTTAGCGAGCTAACAAACGTCTTGCTCTAACACAAAAACTCTCTTAGTTACAAGTTTTTCATGGTTCTTAATTTTTACCAAATTGAAATTTTCATCCACAATATGATCAATAGACACATACCTACCTTGCCATTGAATGCTGGACACCACACATGAACAATGTGATAAGATACCCATTTGAATAAATCAACACCTGGAGCTAATTTCTAATCAATATATTTAAGTACAACATTTTTACAGACATAAAATAACTTGTTCGAATTTAGCAACAATTTCCTATTACGTTTTCAAACCTTTGTTATTCATTTAAATAATGATACAACCCACAAAAATTCCTTTTTATGTAGCATTTGAATTAAACATCTGTGGTTATTAAATTTCCCACCTGCTGAAGTAATGGCCATCTTGCCGAGTCATGCTACGCTAATAAGACTTTTCCTTAGACTTTTAGCTGATCTGAGATCAGGCTTTTGGAAAGCTTGTGTTCTTAACACTCCTAAAAGATGCTAGGTGCGATATGAGCTGCAAGACAAGCAGCTCTCACATCAAGTGAGTCATCAAGAGTACAAGCAGCTGTGTGTGTGAAGATCAGATTCCAACAACACATAAGCACTTAGCTGAGGTCGGTAAATGCGTCACCAGATGTTGTAACATGCACAACAAATGCATTGAGCCACTGTCTCACTTCCAGTCGAAGAGGCCGTCCCGGCAGCATGCAAGACGCGGACGGTGATCTACGAGATCCCCCGGAGCCAGGTGGATCCCACATCTGCCAACTTCCTGATATGGCCGCCCTGTGTGGAGGTGAAGCGCTGCACAGGATGCTGCAACACCAGCAACATGCGCTGTCACCCTTCCCGCAAGCACCACCGCACCGTTAAGGTAAGACTGGATTCCTTAATAAACCAATCATCAATTATTAAGCCAAGTACAAACATGTCTCTTGCCCTCATGTGGTAAGTCTGTCTGGCTTTGTTTTCTGTACAACTCGCACTTCTCTGTGCTTTTTGGGAAAGTAAATCTGAGAATTTAAATCCGATGCCTTAAAATTTTTTAGCATTCAGAGTTTCTGAGACCTGCGAAAGTGGAGAGTTTGCCTGGCAAAATGTGGAGAAAAAATTGAAATGTGAAAATGTTTGCTTTACCTGTCCATCCATTCTCTAATTTTATTCACCAAAGAAGTGAATGAAATTTAGTCCGTCCATCCATCCATCCATCCATCCATCCATCCATCCATCCATCCATCCATCCATCCATCCCTCCCCCCCCCTCCCCTCCCTCCCTAGGGTATCCAACAACAGTGCCCATCCTTCATCTTTTAGCTAGAGTAGCTCATCAGCATGATATTCAAATATCTAATTATAAAACACTATGAAACTTCACAACTTCATTGTGAAATTATATTTCTACTTTAAAATTTGACTAAGAAGGACTGAGATATCTGGAACTCTGACATGAACAATTTGACAGAACACTAAATCACATGCCAATATCTTATTTAGGTGAACCCCTCTTGATACCTTCCCACAAAACGGTCCGTCTGACCTCTACCAATGTCATTTCCTACCATTTCAAAGCATTTCAAACCCCTTTCCATCACTCTGTCTCTTGCTTGGTGTAAGTTCAAGGTGAGGACATCAGAATAGTACAAATGAGAGAAGATGAAAGAAAAGGGAAGGAGGTAGCTGTTGGCTGGGGTATCTGTTGAAGGAATTGCCCAGAGAGGGAAGCTCCTGCCAGGTTTCAAGAAATAAAAAAACAATGTTTGAGATTGTCAGGGTGCCACATGCTGCAGGACTGCTTCAACGTCTTCCTGTTGTTTATTCTTTTGTCTTTTCTGGAAACAGTGTGCCCTTGGACGACAAAATGACAGTGAGAACGAGGAGCATAGCTTTCTTGAAAACATGTCCCTCTGCGCAGGATCAGGGGAGACATGGTAGCAGGACATGAGATGTATTTCTCATTATATTTACAGTGGCGGTATTGAGTTGGGGAACTGCTCTTTTGGGAGGTATGGGGACTATGTGGTCTGCCCTGTGGAAGTTAGAGACAACCAAGGTATAAACAGCGTAGCCAAGAATACTCTGACTGTGTTTGTCTATATCTGTACTTAATTATTGCTGCAGACAGCTTGATCTTGCCCAGTTACTGGGACTGCCAGAGTTGTTTTCCTTTTGCCTTTCATCCAAGTCTTTAAAGATCTCTGCCTGATAGTCTAGTCTAGTCATAAAACAAATGCCAATCCGGGCTATGGAGCTTTTATTAGTAGCAGTTTTTCTATTTTACAGGGATTTTGTGTAATAGGCCATCACAAAGCTGCATTGAGGATGCATGGCTTTCAACGGCTTGGACAAATACAAGTTTATGGTGTGAAAAGTACTTCAAGCTTTGAAAATTTCATGCAGTGTTTTTCAACTTTTTATTCCAAAATAGAAAAAAAATAACCTGTCACTTCTAAGATATGACTTTTCACTTAAACTGAGCGAGATTGGAATTAATTGGAGAACTAACCGCGAGGCCCTTTGTAATGCTAGAGGAGCTGCAGAAACCCACAACTCAGGTGGAATTAACTCCAATCTATGTAGGAGACTCAGCAAACATGTGGAAGAATGTGATCTGGCCAGGTGGGGCAAAATTTAAAGTTTTTGGCAACATTCAAAATGTTCAGTATGCCTGAAAATGTTCTGCACATCACTTGCTACATGACATCCCCATTATGAAACAAGCTTTTCTTTAACAAATACACTGAAGTTGGACAGAGCTACTGGTTTGATGGATGGATCGAAGTTCAGATCAATCCTAGAAGAAAGCACACTAGGCTGCAAAAGACTTGAGACTGGGGCGAAGGTCATTGGGTTTTTGGTCAGAAATGCTGACTCATGTTGTGGTCAAAGTCGAGAGTTCTGATATACCACACAATCATCTGTGTCTGTCTGCATGGAAGAGGCTCAGCTTTTCTGTTTGCCAAACAGCTGGTAAATGTCATCCTCAATAGGAGCTCTGTCTGCAATCGGAGCGACGTAGAGGGATGGAAAGACGCTGCCGACGGCATTTCAAGACATTCAGTTCAGTTATTCCCAGAATGCTCCGTCCAGCTTTGTTTGTGTCCCCCTCATGACATGGGTAAAAAAATGGGCACACAGACAACAGACTGATATTTTGGGGGTGGCAGGGAGGGTGAAAGGCGTTGTGTCCCAAAGGAAGGCATCCCTCAGGGCTTTCTCTTATCAAGTGACATTCATCACATTGTGTGCAAGAAGCATTATGTCAGTGTAAGCTTTGACTTTGAACAGAGGCTCAGTTTGTTCATTTTTCGTTCTTTTATTAGAAAGCTAAAAATTACCTCAGACTGCCAAGGGGTCTGGATTGTTTTTCTTCTGTAAGCCAAGGATCAGCATTGAAGATTTCTGGTGTTTTCTTTCCACCTTACACCAACCTGGATTTGTCTAAACCATTTCTACATCTACTCTTATTCTGCCAATTCACTTGAGACTGGGTATTTAAAGGAAGCATAATAGGTCTGTGCAGGCCCTGTTCTGTACAAGCCTGTATTGTTCATTGGCAGGATAGTGACTTTGCAAAGGAAGAGGAAGTGAGAGGAAGCACATCTTCTTTGCATAATAGTGACATAGTCCAAAACAGCTCATTGAGAAAGGAGCTTGAAATAGGCAGAACTGAGCTGGTGAAATCTACAGAAATCTGCAGAAAATATAGGAAGGATAATAGTTCAACTTAAAGCCGCGAAAGTGTTGGACTTTTGCGTAAGATTATGATATTGTCATCATCTCATACTGACACATGCTTCGTGAGTATTATGTTTAGACCTATATTACCTCTACATATATTTTTTCCCATGAAAAATCATATTGAAACAAAAAAAAAAAAGACTGGCGCACAAACCAAGTAGATTTCTGAAAGAAAAAAAATATTATACAGCAGTGACCGAAAGAAATGAGTAAAAAGTTGAGTTTACATGTTATGTTTACAAATGACATTAGGAAAGAGGAAGTGTGGAGACTCAATTGAAAACAATACAAGCAAAACACGAGAACCAACCTTTTAAATTAGCGTCATGATGTTCCTAATCTAATCTAAAGGGTGTATCACTTTTACCTTTTAGTAGCTTTTAATAGCTGGGAACCTGCAATTGGCTTCCAAGCAAGCATTTCGCGGTGTTTAGAATGGGTTGTCGGGGAACATCTTTGTTGGACATGAGCGTGGGTGAGGGAGAGCGAGTCCTCGACACGATGCAAACCCAGATGAGGCCATTTGTGCGAAGCTGCAGCAAGAGGAAGACAGACCGCAGAGTAATGAAGTGTTGATGGCTACTGGATCAAAGTGGAGGACAATTGAGGCCAGGCGGAAATGGGCCGGTACAGAGTGTGGGGGTCCCACATATCTCTCAGCGCCAGCCTCCAGGTCCTCGACCCCTACACGCAAACATACTCACACATGATTATCCCAGCAGACGGTGGGTCATGGCGGGGTACTGGGGGGGGGGAAGGAGGGTAGCGGTAGCTGTACCCCTGTGGTTTTGTGGGACTCTGACTTACGGGGTGTTTCATAAATAAAAGTGTGGCGTTGATACAGTGAGAATGATTTATGGTCATGTGAGGGACAGGGTAGGGGGGGGTTCAGATGGGAGTGAGGGGCCTCTGTGTTTGAAGTGCCTTGCAGCTGTGAATTATTTACCCTTTGATTCGGTCAGCTCTCCTGGTGGATGAAGCAGGGTGAGGGAGTTTGTGTGAACATGGCGGGGCAGGTCGCAGACCATGGGAGTGTCTGAGATGTTGGCTACTGCTGCAGCGGCTGGAACACTTCAGCAGGGAGAGAAGCAGTATTTTTAAAATCATATTTGACTCAATAGTCTGTATTTTTACTTCACTCCTTCCCTGCTGTCCTCCCTCCTGCTCCTCATGCTTCAGCCCATCCAGATCACCTCTCTGCGCACTTCAGTGTTGGAGTCTGATTGTCTGACGTGTGAAATAGTTGTTCACTCCCTCTGTCTCTCCTGAAACTGCAACTCTCTAATTTTACCCCACTTGTCAAGGCTCTGCATCATCTGTGCTCTCTCTCATTAAATCTCATTCACTTTTCATCCTTTGCGATGCTTAGTAATGTCCCTTTCTGAAATTATGGTTTCTGTCAATGCACTTGGAGTCTGGAATGAACAGGAGTTTGCTACTTTTTTCCACCCTTGACTACTGGAACTAGGCTTGGGCTGGTATGAGACTCTCACGGTATTTCAGTATTAGTAAAATAATTCAATACAAAAATGTAAAATAGGATTTAATTGGTCTCACATTGATTTTACAACATTTATTTCAATTTCAATTAATAGTCTAAAGCTATGTGTTGTCCTAACTTCACATACCTCTTTTAATACTCTGCTCTCTTTAGCGCAATACAAGTTTAAAAAACAGATATTTTAATGGTACTTACTCAGGAAGTAACTATAAAAATTCATTTATTTACTGTCCTGTTGGGGATACACTTGAACAGTTGTATTTATCGTTCTTAAAAGCCATCAAGCTGACTGGCATGATGGAGCAACATGTAGGGGTGGGGCATTAATTTATGCTCCCTACAGCTGGATAAAACTCATTTTTTCCTTGTTGCCCATTAAAAGGAGTTGAAATCATAGGGATGAGTTGAAGGAAAAATGTTGTATTTTTGAAATCGTAAAGGTTTGGGTATGGCTTGGTATGGTTTTGTGCGCAAGCTAGTTCTTGCATCAACATCAGGCGCACTACGCTCACTGTAGTTCTTATTTTAAACAGTAGATGTCACTGCATAGTGTGTAAACAGTAATTCATAACTGAAGAAGAACTTAGAACAAGTGTATTTCCTACATACAACTGTGGTCTCACAGTTTGACTTTGCAAGTGTTGCTTTTACGCAACATTGAACCCTCGGCAACATTTTGCAAGAAATGCACCTTCAGACTTCAATCATTCGCATCTTTATTAAAACAAATGTGCTTCGTTAATATACTTTCTTTTCTTTTATTTATTTCATTGCACAAACAAAAATAGTAACAGATGGAGATGCACAAAGCCTCTTCTTTCTCCTCTTTTTTTTTCTGGGCAGTAAACACAGACTGTCTCTGTTGCCTGTTTTCCCTCCTGATGGATGAATTGTGACCCTGCCCAGCCTCTTTCCACCCCTCTCCATTCTGCAAACATACACATGCACTTTTTATTTATTTTTGCTTCAATCTGTCACTGTTCCAGTTTGCCATGGCCCGCGGTGCACATCCACATCCCTGCTGTGTTTTACTTGGAAGTCCGGAGCAAAACTTTCCCCTTCCTTCATCATGCTCTCATCGTCAGTGTTCTGTGCTCAGGGAATTCCCAATTAGCCCCGACTCGGACAAACGGCTTCACACAGAAGGGCTGCTGGTGACACTGGGGACAAGCCAAAACCAAAAGGGGGTGTGATTCCCAGACCCTCAAGCCTCACCCCCAACCCTCTGGATTGGATATCATTCCACTGCCACTCAGGGGACTCTTTCTCAGGGCCTGGATTTCCAGGGAGTTTAAAGCGGTTTGATTTATACAAAGAGAGTGTGGGGCCCTGTGTCGTAGCATGGGAGAGGGGCGCTTTCTTATCTAGGTTTTAAATGGGAAGTCACTGACTGTGCAACAGAGTGTAAGTCTCTGTTAATAAGATAATGATGCTACAACAAAAGTCCTCATCAGCTCTCACTTCTAACACAGGAAAGCAACCCAATGCATCTAGATGTGATGATGGCAACTCTCTGAGGTTTACACTGTGTACCAGAATTGGGAAGAAAGGCGATGTACGTAACTTGACGCGTGATATGGCTTTTTGTATCATATTGCCAGCCCAGCATATTTCAGAAACTGCTGGATATGTTTGGTTTTTAAAGACTTGACTAAAATGTGGATTTAAAGAGAATGATAAAAAAAAATAAAAATACAAGAGGCAGTTGTGTGGATGAAAATGCCTATTGAGGTCAGAGCTCAGAAGGAAGAATTGTACACAAACTCAGTGAAATTGAAATCGAGATCGATTTCATAGACATGCAGCTGACAAATCAGCAGCGATTGTATGATGCTGCAGTGTGGATATGCACCACGTTCTCCTAGGAAGGTTTTTGACACCTTGTTGAATTTTACCAAGAATATTTAAGGGAGCCTTGATGGAGAATCCCGTGCCTTACTTGGTATTAGGAAGGTACACCTATAATTAGAAATTATGTTTGTTTGCTTGATATAAGAGCGATTATGGCCCTGCTATGTGCAGGTCATCGAAACAAATGAACCGCTGGGGTTCACATCAAGGGAGGCCATTTCTTCATCCTTCTGTCAATAGCCGTTTGTTTGGCCCGGAAGAGCTAGTGTGTGTCTTAGTCATTAGGATTAGCGTCAGTTAGTAAGTCTTAGATGAGACTTTGTCTTCTTCGCTTCCTGCTTGCAACTTCTGGAGCGTTTGCTCAGAAGTTGTGAGCGCAGACATTCTCGTAACCAGCATCAGCAGACAAGCTGTCCGGACAGGCAGCTGCATCTTTCATCTCTTTCTCCTTTCATCCGTATTTTCCAGTAAGATAATCGGATTAAATGCTGGCTGCGGTTTTCTGAGAAAGTTGCATCATTTCGGGGATGTTTAGCACACTTTTTGTAGACAAATGCAAACCTTTGATAAGTTTTCTATCTGTCGTGTCAGTGTTGGTTTAATAAATTTCCCAAATGGGTAACCTAGAAACCCAGTGTTAATAGGTAACACATGAACACCTTCTAATGCAAGTCATGATCATGGCGAGGTACTCCGCCCAGTCCTTAAATAACCACCTCTGTTTGTACACACACATGCTTACTCCCCTGTGAGAGCTAATGAGAACGGTGGTTAACCTTCCTACTCCTAGTTTCTTCCTCACTCTGGCCTTTCACCCGCTCCTCTTCTGTTTCATGGCTCGGAAACAGCAAACACACCACCAATAACCCAGACACCATTGTCCTCTGTTTGCGCTCCACATACCTCCCCTGCCTGCTTGTCCTCTTTTCACTGCCTTTCTTCTTCTCTTCTTTTCCACAGATAGAAACTGTTGCAAAGGAGTGGCTGCTAAAAACTGCTTGCCCTTTGCCTCTTTGCTGCCTCAGTTCCAGTCGCCCTACCCGCCCCCCCACCTCTCTGTACCACAAAAAGCAACTCTCTCCCTTTTTGAATTTCAGCATTATTGTTTGTTTTATCAGACAGGGATTGGTATGTTGATTTGTCTGCATGACTGACTCACCACCAAGAGCCAGGCTTGGCCCTGTGCCATCGTGGGATAGAGGAAAACAGACTCTCACTGGTTTTGTGCGTGCAGAAGCTTCATGCCGAGTACAAGACCGTGTTGCTCATATCGCTGCTGAGTGCTGGGAGGTTGTCAGCCAATATCCTTTCTCGTGCTGCAACTGGCATAGGTGAAGCTGAGGAAATTGTTTCCCTGTGGTTCCAGAGCCTTCGGGGATGATTTGAGATGTTACCTTTCTTGATGTTCAGATCAGAGGGGCAACAGCATGTGCCCACCTTTTCTCCTCAGTTGCACAAGAGTATCATCATAACCTCCATGCAACCTTTTCTGCTCAGCTTTCATCTGAGCTTTAATCAGTAGTGCATTGTTGATGAAGGCTCAGAACATTCATAACTCTTGGATTGGTGGTTGTAACAAGCTGTGCCTTGGAATGACTGGAATTCTTGTTGTGCATTTTGTGCTTGTTTGACCGTTTTCTGAGCTTAGAACTGATTGTGCAGAGCCCTGAAAAAAATATTCTTTTGAACTTTATACAAATTTTGTAACATTGCAGTCACATATTTTATTGTACAAATAAAATATGTTTGATGATTTACATTTTTCTAAATCATGGAACTGTCTTGTGCAAACTCACATTTGATTTCCCTGAGTTAATAAACTAAGTAATCCATAGCTGTGAGTATTTTGAGTGTCTCTGGCCTCTGCGCATTTTCCCCCCCAAATTCTTTGCTAACCAAATTGATTTAGTTCTGGACAATCTAATACTTAATAATATACTTTGATCTAAGCTTTTACATTAGTAGCTGTGGCTGCATCCTTGGAATTGTTGTCCTGTTAAATGGCGAACTTCGGTCACAGTCTCATATCTTTTCTACCTCCTGACACAGAAGTCTGCAAACCAGTCAATTTGTGAACATCAGCAGCATAGAAATGACCAAACAGCTCTAAATTTTCTCTGTGTCCTGGAACAGTCTTCTTTTGTGTGTGTAATACTTGAAAACATCCATCTGCCTCCACTGATGTGCTTGATATGAACGAATATCAGCAAAAGAATGCCTTCCCCATAGTTTGTGGGAAGCTGCAAACAGGGCCGGCTTACTTTCAGCAGTGTCTGTGGTTGTACGGTGACAAAATAAAAAAAAAAGGTTTAAAGTAGGATGGATATTTTAGAAGGCTCTGTAGATTTCCTACATGCAAGCAAAGCAGAACGTTCCATAATCCATGTAGAAACACGGCTTAAAATCAACATGTCGAGGCAAGGTGAATGAGTTTAGGTGTCTGTTTGGATGTGGATGCTTTGGGTCGGAGCTGAGGGGATCTCCCAGCTTCTTTTCTTTTGCCAGAGCAAACCTTCCCAGGGCCTGAGGGTGCAGTATGCTCTATCCTACCCCTCATCCCTCCTCCTTCAACTCATAGCGGGGTCATACACTCCATTCAGACGCTTACAGACCATAGAGCACACAACAAGTGAAACCTAATGAATCAGGCACTGAGGAATGCTCCTGTCACACTCCAAACACAACAAGCAAAGCCTTAGCTGAGTTTTTTATGAATTAGTTTATGCGTGTGCCATCAGTCATGGGACTACACCTCTTGATGTTTGCCGGTGGGCAAATAGAGTGTGCATTCATTGACACACACACACAGGGAAGAGTAAATGTGCAGGACCCTATAGCTAATCTTTCTCCTCTTCCTTTCCTTTAGGTAGCCAAGGTGGAGTACGTGAGGAGGAGACCCAAGCTGAAGGAGGTCTTTGTGAGGTTAGAGGACCACCTGGAGTGCTTGTGCACATCGCAACATCACGTGGTAGAACACTTAGATCCAGAAACAGGTAAATAAATACAAGCTGGGATTTCCTTCACATCTTCCTTAAATGATGTTTCCGAAGTCCCTTTCAAATACCGTGTTTGTTATTCTAAAGTTTGATGGCCGAAATCCCGCGCCTACACTTTTGTCACTGTGCACGCCTCCTTATTCTCTCTGTCTGCTTTGGATTAAATGAACCCTTACCTCCAAATGCTTCCAAGCAGACATGCACACCTGCAAGGTGACTCTCTGTTTGAAAACTGTAAAGCTTTGAGCCTTGCTCTGTGAGAATTTGTGTGTTAAGGGTGTGTGTTCAAAGGCTGCTTGGCATGACAGCAGTTAACGTGCCTTGATCTGAAGGTTTCCTATATCTGTGTGCAGATAAGCGCTGTAATGTGCGCAGATAAGGCACCTGAAGAATTTAAACCGAGTTAAATTTTTGCACTCTCTGCTTCTGTCCCAGGGCTGTTGCGGTTTCTTCGGTTTCCATAAAGCCTGCTTCTTGCTTTAAATCCTCCTTCCTCTTCACCCTCCCCAACTTTTGTGTTTTCAGGCCATCGTAGGGTTAAAGGTAGAAAAAGGAAACCTAAAAAGCTAAGGCCCACCCAGGACTTATTGGTGACATAATAAAGGTGCTCATATTACCCAAAGTCCACTGCAAAGCTGTGACAGGACACAGGTAGGAATTGAGCACTGACGTCACCTTTTGGCGTCACACTGGCCCAACCAAGGCCAAAACTGGGCCTGCCAATCACCGTCACCAATCACAGTGTGAGGAGGAGGAGAGCTACCAAGTTTTACCTCCACGTCCCAATTGTGCATGTTGAATTTGTGGCCTCTTGAGCATGCTCACTTTGCACAAGTGTTTTGTTTCACAGCAGTGGTCTTGCGACTTGTTGAGTGCATCATCAGTTTGTTTCGTCTAACCTCTAAAGAGGCACCCTCCTCTCTTAATTATCTCTTGCTCCTCTTTAAGTTACAGTGCCTTGCAAAATCATTCATACCCCCTGAACATTTTCACTTGTCACTTTAAAAATCATAAACGCTCAATTCCATTTATTGGTATTATACATAACAGACCAATGCCAAGTTGCCTTTTTTTTTTTTTTTTCTTTTTTTTTTGCCAATTACAGTTATACTGTATGTTTTCCAGTTCAGATTATGTTTTAAATAATCCTCCTTGGGACATTAAAGATTGTTTTATTACTTTGAGTTTAAAAGTAAACTGAAAACAAATACTCATCACATTTCTCAGATTCAAATAGTTTATTGTATAAAATACTATTAAGATACATTGCTAATTTGTGGTTTCTGGACAAAATGTGAGAGTTCATGGGGTGTAAATACTTTTGGGATTCACTGTATCACCACATTTTTTTTCCCTGTACTATCCTTTGTACACAGAAAAATCACCCGGAACGTAAACTGTTCTTCAGCTGATCAAGTTGTTCTGTATATGGGGGAACTTAATTCAGAACATCATTGGTTATAAGTGTGTTGTGTCAGTTTGCAGGGAATGCATGGATTCAAATGCTGAGGTTGGGATGTGATTGCAGAGATCTACAAAGATCTCTTTTGTAATAATAAAATGTGAGTCTTTGCATTTGTGATAGTAATTTCAGCTTTGTCTCTCTGTCCTGCAGCGGATGTGAGGTGAGACCTCCCAGAATAAGGGGCAGCATCACGGGATGGACCTAAACCAGAAGAGGACACCGTTTTCTTTGTCTGTCTCTCCACCCACCATGCAAACATTGTTCAAGGAAAATATACTTTCTCCAAAAGTCTTGAGACTGAAAAATAGACAACAGACTAAAAATACAGAATGCCAAAGGTGCTTTCAAAACCAGTAATGATGAGGGCAACTGAACTGTGCTGCTGATTACGAAGAAAAAAAACAAAAAAGAAGATGCCGTGAAGCTCAGACTTCAAGAGGATGGAAGGAATTTGGGATGAACAATTCAAAAGACACGCAAAATGGAAAATAGACTGTGGGATCAGACTTTTTTTTGTGAATCCAGTGCTATAGCTCAAAGTGCCCTGTTTGTATAAAAAAACTGTTGCATTCATAAAAAGAAAGCAAAAGGAAGATAGGAGTAAAGATGCAAGGAAACAGTTTGGGAGTGTTCATTTTTCCTATAAGAGGCAGAAAACATTGTGACTGATGGACAATTTGTTCAAATTAAGGAAGAAACAGCCTCAGAGACTTCCGGTTTTGAAATTGCCTTACCTGCTATGTACATATAGATCTAAAAACAAAAAAACAAAAAAACAAAAAAAAAAAACAGAGGATGCGCCGCTGCTTACAAACTATTTATGTGTGTGGACATTTGCTTTTGTCACTTTCAGTCTTCGAGAAAGGACAAAAAAAATATGTTTTTATTAATTTCCGCAGACATACTGGTATGTTTGGTCCAGTCCTTTGCTTTCACCAGTATCACAATCTCAGTGTCATTTTTGTTTTTTAGCAGTTGTTTTTTTTTTCCATCGTCAACCATGTTTCGTATTATATTGCAGTATATCTGATTGATGTCAAGTCTTGCATATGGTTCAGATGTATGTGTGCAAGGAGGAGATGTGAGAGTTAGTAAAGGAAGATGTTTTATTTTTGTTATGAAATATATTATGCATACTTATATCCAAGCAGGAATGATGTTTTCTTTCTTCTTTTTTTTTTTGGAAAACAATGCAAATCATTTTAGCAGATGGTCAAATTGGTAAGGTTGAAATCTGTTTTCATCACTTTTGTACAAGGGTATAAAAAAGCAGAATCAATAGCTAGTGGTAGTTTATATTTCCTTATGCTGCAGTCATGCTCCTTTTTTCCAGACAAACAAACAAGCAGATATTACAATATGTCGATGACAATCGCATAACTATACCAGAAAAGGTACCACAGTGTACAGATCTAAGTAAAAGTGTAGTTGTAGTTGGGTCTGTGTCCTTACAATGAAGCGATATTTGGTGCCTTAAACTCCTGTTTAGGATTCACTTTAATTTGATTTACGTTTACATGTTTAAATCTTTTGTCTCTAAATCCATAGTTTCCATGCCAGTCAACAAAATGCTACAGGTCAATGAGCTGAGTCCAAATTTCAGACAAATTTATCTGACATCCATATCAGAAGTGAAAGAAAATTTGATGTGCACTTGTGTTGAATTAAAGGTACGTTCCTTGTTTTGTGTAAGGATACCAGTAGTTTAAAAATCTGTCAATGAATGCTAAAAGCTTATGAATGCAGATCAAAGATTCAGTATCCAGCAGAGATATAACCAGAGTAGGATGGATTGGTTTTGATCAAAGCACATTTATGTGCTGAAAAGGGCCAAAGTCCAGAATCCAGTTAAGAATCCTTGGTTTCCAGTGATCTGTACTTCTAAATGTGTAAAAAAAAAAAAACAACAACATAAAATTATACCATAACATTGGTCTTATTATGGTATGCAAAATGTATCTAAATTAACAGGAAATTTTGGTTAGAGGTATTTTATGTCCATATCATGAAGCACAACTATACAAGTCACTGAAGACCTTTTCTCTTCTTACACATTTTTTAGTGATTGTTTTTGCAAACTGAAAATCCCTGTCTACAAATAAATTAAAAGTTAAATTAATCCAAGTTACAGGGTGTTGCTTGCTGCTGAGCAAAACTTAATGGTTAACATTGATAGACACATCTATGATGTCCTGGTTTGGATTGAAAGTAAAAATCTATATGTCCCGTTTAAGAGGTTCATTTTGAGCTCACATTTTCTGTGAACATACCTGTGGATTGATATCATGTCACGTTTACAACTCTGGGTTTAGGTTTGCCTTTACTTTGACTGGGGGCACAATAAGCAAAACGTCTTTTGCAATACAAACATTTCCACAAAGACACAAAGGTAAGTTGTGTTGTATAGATAGTCGTAGATTGTGTATTTGTAGCAAGAGGTTGTTTTTCATACATATCTGGAAAACTGATAAGGAAGATGCCCGCCCGATCAGCTTCACAAGTGCACGTTATGCCTCAAAGAGCAAAGTCCGCCTTGAAAGAGTGAATGAGTGAGCAAAGCAAATCGACGACTGCATGAATGCCCTCCTTGTTTAGTCAGGCTTTACTCCCAGTGTTGACAGGAGAACAAATCACTCCACCCTGTGGAGGGGACTTGCTCTTTATGCACTCATGTACAATCAGGACAAATGATGAGTTCACTGAGGTGGTCTGAAAACATTACAGTGCTGGCCAGACCTTGCACCCTATCTGAACAAACAACCGCCTCATTTACCAGGTAGTTAACAGTGATGAATGTGGATCAACAGCAGAAAACTGGGATTATTCTTGCAAAGCAAAGGGAATGTCACCGCAGTGGAATCACGTGAAAAATCTTACAACAGCTTGTGATTTTTTTGGAAAAGCCGACTAGTGCCATGTTTATAAGGTGGATCGTTTAACACTGTTCACATTAAGATTACATCGATGTACGGTTGTATTTCCTCTCATACATGATTTAATAATGCCATTATGCTATATGTTAGGCTTCCGTTGGACAAATGTGCAAATAATAATTCCTTTGTTTTCAGTAATAAATGCATTTCTGTTAATGAAAAGGTTCAACAGATGTTTAGTTCCAAAACTTATGCCACCTATTACGCAAAGTACAAAATAGTTACACCAGCACAATAGCAAGCAAAAAGACCTGATGCATTTAGTTTAAAATGTTGCAAAACAAAAGAAAGGTTAAGGCAGAGCTTGTTTTTATTGCAACATTTCTTGCAAAAAATAAAAAATAAAAATAGTTGCTGAATGTAACTCTTTTGCAGTTACGTTGGCTAAGGCCAGTGTAGCTTGTTTGACTGAACAAGAGGCAGCAAACTTTTTAAACATTTGAGTTGTTTTAAATGGCTGAAGATTAAATCAGCTAAAATGCACACTCCGTCTGAATAGCTCTTAACCTTCCACAAATGAGGATTTAATTTCTTTTCTACACACTAATTGATATAATTATCACTGACTATGCATCCAAAGAAGCTCTATGCAACAGTAGAAATCCAATACGATTTTGTGTCAGGGTTCATACTAAAGTAGAGATGCCAAGAGACTTATTAACTTTGGGCTCTTAAAATCTTCTAACAGGATTAAACATTGTGAACTATTTCTCAAATGTGTGAAGTTTACTTAAACAAGTACTGCAGCTGCAGGCGTCCCGAAAGCCACAAGTGAGGATGGTGATGTAAAGGAAATAAGAGCTTTTTCAGGCTTGCACAGTGAGCATGAGCTGAGCTTTACTCTAGTACACATCGGGAACAGACGAAAGGTTCAGGGGGCTTTATTGCTTTTCCCAAGGAGCTCACCCTAATCCCAGGGTGGAGGGACATGAAAGTCCTTCTCCTTTCGACTTCCCCGCTATACACCCAACTTATTACCTCAATAGGAAGCCAGATAAAGAAAGGCAACACATGAAAGAGAAGAAAGGATCAGAGAGACAGCAATTCGACAAGCTAGAGGAACGGGAGGGATAAACTCAAAAAAAGTAGAGATAAAAGGAGGAGCACAGGAATTGATTGATTTTATTGTTTTTATCTGACATGCACAGCTTTATTTTAAAAAGGCGAGGAGAGAGGTTGAAGTGGGGATTTAGAGTGCATGGCGTGTTCACCACACAGAGAAAGAAAGCAATATGTCATGGTGTGGAAAGAGGGAGGAGGAGTGGGGATACCCCGAGGAGTGAGAGTGCAATAGGATGGAGACGGGTGGGGGGGGGGGTTGGAAAATAAAGAAAAGAGGGAACAGCGTGGACTCAAGATGTGGATAATCGGCACCACGGCAAGAGAGGCCAGACAGGTCAGCTCTTAAGTGGACGTGCTTCTATAAACAATACCAGAGGGGCACAAAGGTCAGGCAAGGTGTGAAGAGCGGGCTGCTGAATGGGCTTTATGTTGCTGTGTGCATGTATGCCTTTGCATGTGAAAGTCTGCAAATGTGCATGATTGTGCATGCATTTGAACAATACAGAGAAGGTCTCCCAGTGTGAAACACGCCCCACTGGAATTTTAGGCTCTTCCAAAGAGCAAACTGGGATTTTTAATGCCTACAATACAAAGGGTCAGAGTTCAGGGTTCACAGATCATAAGAGGATGTGGCAAGTGGTGCTAAATGAATCGTCAAGCTTAGATCAGCTTCCTCCGGTTCTGTATTACAGCTCATAATGCTCTAAATGCATGTCGCTGAAGATGTTATCTAGATCTTAATGAGCAACCTTGTCAGGATTAGCCATGGCTTTTACCATCGTTTCTTACATCCCGCCATCTGCCCCTTAACTTGTTCCCCAATTTCCCCCCCCCTGTTATGTTTCTCCTCTCTTCCCCAACCTGTGGCCTCCGGGTTTTGAGGAAAGGCAGAGGTGGCCTTTGAAGAAGGTGGCAGCCAAGTTTGTCTGGGGCCACAGCCATGAATGAATGTCTTTGTTGTTCGCCGTCCTCCTACGTCTTCATATCCTACTCCCCCCGCCCCGCCGCCTCCTTGCTTCACTCAGTATCCTCCATCTGCCCCCCACAAGCTCACACCAACACACTCATGCCCTTGCTGGGGCCCACTTTGTACAAATGACCCCGCTAATTATGTATTTAAGGTATTTGGCTCCTGTGAAACAGCTTCGGGGGTTAGCGGTGGAAGGTGGCGAGGCGGTTGGAGAGGGGAAGGTGTATAGGGCCCGTGGTGTGGTCCATGGTCTCATGGCTATCATTACTGCCCAGCGTTGAATGTAAACACTGGATTAGGGCAGGAAAGGTTTATTCAAGCGACAGATAGTTGAGGTTATGGTTTTTGACTGTGCTCTGGAGTTTCTGCTTTCTGGTTTCACCTCTGGGTGGCAAGTCCCTCAGAAACACTTACGTCTCTTACCTCATTCAGGTGAAGCAATGTTGACTGAGTTTAAAAAAAACACCAAAAACAAAAACAAAAAAAAAAGACAAGTCAAACTTTTAATCTCTTAAAGATGTGCGTTGATGCAAAAAAACAATTTTACGACCTTTTGGGCTCCATTAAAAATCTTCACCTTCTCATTACGGAGAATTACTGTAGCATTGCTCCAAAAGCCACAAAATGTTGGGTACTGACTAAATATAACATTCATAAGTTTATAATATAAGCACCTTATTGCTTACTGACCAAAGGTATAAAGATGAGGGCAACAAACTCAATTAAGAGTTATAGATGCATGTCAATGTATTATCTATAAAAATAAGTAAATACCTCAAATAATTTCAGCTTCTGTTGAAATAGCATTTGATGTTGAAACATTTTAAAATATCTAACATTCAGTTTGAATTAACTCCTATTCCTGTTTGCCTAATCTTGTTAGAGTCCTCTCTCGTACTGCCCAATCTTCACCTGACCTGCATGAAAAAAATAAAATCAAATTATATTCTTGCAGTAAAATTAATGAATTTCTAACCCCACTGAGTCGCTACACTCAAGTTAAAGCAGAAAAAAAGGGAAAGAAATAGCTCTAGAAATTCAGTGCTGACCTCGGTCAAGTGAAGAGAGGCATTTGAATGCTGATAAGCTGGAGTTGGACCATAGCTTGGTAGATTCTTTGTGGCACTGATAAAGATAAGAACCTGTGGCCAAGTAGCACAGATTCCTCCATATTTGCAGTTTTTTAACAGCAGTATTGAAATTAGTTTTGACTTTCTTTCTAGAAACTGCATATCTTTCCCCTTTACAATAGATCTTTTTTTTCTTCCTGTCTGGCTGAGGTGAGTGCGACAGGGCTGCTGTCTGTCCCAATAAAACTCAAGGAAGGAAGAGTCAAGAGAAGAAGGGAGAGAAAGTGGGTGTAGAGCAGGAACTACAGAGAGTAGCTGTCTCTCGAGAGCGATAAGTCAGCCTCTAATGGGAGAGGAAGCTCGCGAGTGTTGTAATTAGAAAGGGAGAAGCGCCGCTTTCCAGTGGCTGCTTTTGAAAGAGGATTAGTGTGTGAGGGTGCATGTTTTCTAGTGGGAGCGCAACGGGAGAAGCCAGTTTTCCTTTGCACATCAAATAAATCAAAAGTCTACAATTAGAAGGAAGGAGTGAGGAGTGTTTGGCTTGTGGGAAGAAATGATGAGGGCTCAGAATCTGTCACTGCTGATGAGAAATAAGGACTTAT